GCATCCTGGTGGCCAACCAGCCTCTGTGGTCCCTGCTCTGAGTCTGAACTTTGCCCAGGATCCTCCACTTCTTCCATAGCAGACTCATGGGGGTCCTCACTATCGGTCCATCTGCAGTTCCAACTGCTCCTGCTGGGCCACAACAGCTATGCATGCGACCCCCATGCTCCCTGCTTTTGGCGTGCAATGGACCCATTTTTCGCCCTTCCCAGGCTCCAGAGGCTTTCTAGGAGCCTGGGGAGGGCAAAAATTGCCCCGAGGTCCTCTGGAATGTGAAAATCCAGCCCGACAGCCAAACCGGAAATCACTTCTGATTTGCTCATAGGGCCGTTTTTCGCCCTCCCTTCAGGGAAGCCTCCGGAGGGCGGAAAAGGGCCTTAAAAGATATATCTCGGAAGGCCCATTGCAGAAACGGAGTAAACGAAGTTTTGAAGCATTTCTTGAGATTCGTAGTGTGGCATTAAAACGCCCCGACCTCGTTTCAATGGGGAGGAGAGAGTTTGGGGGAAAGAAAATGTTTAAATTCACCGAATTGAGCTCAGCCCACCTGAGATCCTCTTTTTTTCTGCTCCATCTAAAAGGCGAGCAAGGAAAACAATGGCTTTTATGCGAATGTTTACCTTACTTCCGCTTTCAAAAGCTGTTTGGAGTCTGTCCAAAGCAACATTTTCCTTTTATTTTTATCTATTTTTGCCCTGAGGAGGCTGTGATGGGTCAGCCCCTTCCTGGTGGTTGTTTTACCAAGGAGAAATCCTAAGGAAGTTTAGAGGCCCATCTTACAAAGCAGGTAAGAGAAGCTGATGGCTAGAAAGGCTGCCTGAAATCATTTTCAAGTTTCAAGTTTAATTTTATTTATAGGCCCAAAATATTTTAAATATTTTGTTCAAAATGCCTATCCTATCCAAGGCAGCTCCAGAAACACAGAATTTTTATGCTTTGCAGCCTCCAAAAAGAGCAGGAAACAACAGCCCTTTTCCCCATCTGACCTTTCAGTTTTCCTATTTACAACTGTTTCATCTCCTGTCCTCGACCCCTTTTCCCACTACTAAGTTTTCAAGGGGAAAAAAAATCCAAGAAAGTCCAGTTTCCTTTTGGAAAAGCATCTTAGGGACAACCATTACTTGGAGGATGGAGGCTCTCCATAGAGACCCCTGGCTCCTCTTTCCCCTTTTGAAATCTTGGCAGACCCAGCCTGGACTCCTAAGGGCCTTAAAAGTCCTTAAGGGGGCATCTAGTCCACCCCTCCAATCAGAGAAAGATTCCCGTTGAGAGTGATGGGGTGGGGGGTTGAAAAGGAAGTCCACACTGCCCTCTGGTCCTGGCATGAAGGAGCCCCCTGAAGCTGCAACACCCCCCCCCCCAGACAATATCTTCTCCTCTCTCACCTTTTTTGCTTCTATTTGAGTGGGGGTCCGAGTTTCTCTTCCAAACTCTCCCTTTGGGGCCCCTCCCTTTGAGATGGACTTGTGGGGGCTACAAGGGAGTCTATTTGGGCGTGGGCAGGAAAGAGGCATTGAAAATTGTTCAAAGGAAGCTCTCAGGGCTGAAGATTGGGGTGGGGGGAGAAGAAAAGTTTGGGGTATCCAGGATAAGTGAGGGTTGAAGGGCTGGAAGAGCCCAGGAGGATGGAGGTAGGTATCCTTATTGTGACGCCCTCCCCAGATGCCCCCCAAAGGCCCCACTGGGATCCTCTCAGCTTACACGTTCAGCAGCAGGCTTGGTCCCTTAACAGGGTCGCTTTTCTCTGCGCCCAAGAAAGATCAAAAGGTGCGGAGCAGCAGCCTTTAAGGTCAAAGCCGGCGTAGCTGCCCAGAGGTAAGAAAACAAACCAGTGAGGGAAGGAGCCCCCCTGAAGCTGCCGCTATTGCAGCCATCCCCCCATCCCGCAGTTGGAGCTCCCAAGCGGAAGATGTCCTCGGCTGTTGTGAAAAAAGCGGCAGCTCTGGGTATGCCACACTCGCTTCATCCTCGAAGAACGATGCGGGCGTGGCCCACCCGCAGCTGCCACTTCTTCGCAAAAGCTGAAGACGGAAAAGTTTGCTCAAGAGAATGCTAACATGTAAGGCGGACGCGTCACAGGGCGGCGTAGCCCAAGCTCTCTGGCACGGGTAAAGAAGTGTGCAGAGGCGAAGGGGAGAGAGAAGAGACAGCGCTGGGCAGCAGCCACAGGAGGAGGTCGGTTCTTCTTCTTCGCCCCTGCCTGGAATAGGATGCTCCCAGCGCAAGGAGACTGAAAGAGGGAGGCTTAAGATGGCTCTCCATCCTAACCCAGAGGCGGCTGGGGCTTGGCCTCGCCCTCGGGCTACAGGCTCCCCGCCTCCTCAAGGCTGGAAAGGAAGCTCGCTCCTCCCACCAGATCCACTCAAGGAAGGAAGGAGGGAGGGAGGGAGGGGGAGAGAGAGAGGGAGACCGACGGGGCCAATCTGCCTCTCCCCGAGCCAGAAGAAGCAGCAAGCACCAGGCTGGGGCTCTTCGCTGTCGTTTTTGGGGGGGGATCCCCAGAAGCATGTGATCAGGGCGGCGTGCTGCTCCGAGAAGCCGTGCTCAGCTGCCTCCCACCTGAGGATGGTGGATGGAGCGGTCCAGGTGCAGCGAGTGCCGCAGGGCCAGGAAGCACTGCCAGAGGCGGCCTATGGAGAAGCCGTGCGGGTGGCCCAGCACTCTGCAGCAGTCCATGTAGGGCTCCGGCGGCTGTAAAGCGCGGCACGAGGGGCAGAAGCCGCCAAACCCAGCGAGGGCCCGCAGCAGCAGCAGCATCTGTCTACCTGGGATCAGGTCCGCCATGGGGGACTCGTGTGCATCGCCCGCCGCCATATCCGTCCCCGCCTTGCTCCTCTCCATACAGCAGGAGCTCTTCGCTGTCCTGCTCGCAAGACGGAGCCCGGGGAGGAAGGAAACGGCAGTCCGATTGCGGCGCGAGGGAGCCCCAGGCTGAGCAGGGAAGCGTCTGCCAGCTGCCTTGGCTGCCCGACAGTTATTGAGGGGGGAACCACCCCAACAAAACAGCTTTGCCAGAGCTAAGGGAGTGCATGCAAACTACCCACCGTCACTGGGAGCGACCAATGCTGAAAACTCTGCAAAAGACGGGAGGGAAAAGGGGGTTGTTGTTGGTGGTAGTAAATGGTTCTATTAAGTGTAATGCGAGAATGCGTCCTTCTCCGGCCTAGGGGGACTCGCTCTCGGCAAAGGCTGGCAGGCGAAGGCTTTTGGAAGGGAAAACCCAACTCCAAAGAGTTGAGAGAGGCACTACGTTCCCTGTTCTCCGGAGTGCAGTCAGAAAGAGTCCCAGAGATGGGCCATTTTTCGCAAAAATGGAGGTGTTTTTGCCTTCCCACAGAAGCATTCTGCAGGCTTCAACAGGGGGGGAGGCAAAAACGCCTGTTTTTGCGAAAAACAACCTGTTTTCTGCCCATTCAGTGTTCCTGGGGGCCAGGGAGGACAAAATCCTTTTTCCTTACTGGGTAGTTTGCAGACGCTCCCTTAGCTATGGTGAGGCTGGGGGCCCCACCCTGTCAAAACTTTTGGCCATTTCGGTGGGCATGGCTTGGTGAGGGGGTCATGTGACTGAGTGTCTGTGAGTGATGTCAACGCTCACTCAGTCACATGCCCCTCATCTAGCCACGCCCACAGAACTGATAGTTAAAAAGTTTGAAACCCACACCTGGGGCGGATCCTATTGGACAGACAATTCCCCATCTCTCCTCTAGGGGGTGTTGTCCGGTAGCCTTTTGTCTCATGTTCCCTGTCCCTCCTCTGAGAAGTGCGGCTCGCTCTTCTAAGAAGCCACTGGCAATGATGGGCCCTGGGCTCCTTGATGGGTTATTCCTCCTCCCTGCACCCCATTTCCTGATCCAGTGGAGGTCCGAGAGCCACTTCCTCCCCCCACTTTGACTGCACAGCCATATTGCCTGTTCTGGCCCCTCCCAGTCCATCTCCTGAAAAAGGCCCTCTTGATTGTTTTGAACAATACTTTTATTAATGATTATATGCACTGAAAGAAACTTAATATCTGAGTGAATATATGAAAAAGGCCATGAAAAAAGAGAATAGGAAGGATAAAACATCCCCTCTTAAATAGAAATACAATAGCAGACCTTGGAGGTTTTCTAGTCTAACCCCCTGCCTAGGCAGGAGACCCTATACCGTTTCAGACAAATGGCTATCCAACATCATCTTAAAGACTTCCAATGTTGGGGCATTCACAACTTCTGGAGGCAACTTCTGTTCCACTGATTAATTGTCTTCATCCTCATTGTGTGGTTGTTCTGCGGTATGGATTCTCTGATGCTTTAAAAGAGCAACTTTCTGAGAAAAACATTTATTACACTCTGAGCATTTATAGGGCTTCTCTCCTGTATGGATTCGGCTGTGACGTATAAGGGAGCCTGACTGAATAAATGCTTTGCCGCATTCCAAACATTTGAAGTTTTTTTCCCCCGTGTGAATTTTCATATGCGTTCCAAGGGCTGATGATGTACTATAAAACTTTCCACATTCGTTGCATTGATATGGCTTCTCCCCTGTGTGGGTCCTATGATGTATCGAAAGGTCTCCCACGTGTCGAAAGCATCTTCCACATTCTACGCATCTGTAGGGCTTCTCCCCTGTGTGGATCCTCTGATGGGTTTTGAGTTGTTGTTTTAGGGAGAAACATTTCCCACACTCCCCACATTTGAATGGCTTCTCTCCCGTGTGGATTGTCTCATGATTCCGGATCTCTGTTCGTGTAAGGAAACTTTTCCCACACTCCCCACATTCATAGGGTTTTTCTCCTTTGTGCCTCCTCTGGTGTATCCGGAACTCAGAATGATCCACAAATCTTCTCTCACATTCTTCGCATTCATAGGGTCTCTCTCCGGTGTGACGTCTCTGATGTTGCACCAGGCTTGATTTAAAGATAAAACATTTCCCGCATTCGAGGCACTTTTCGTTTTTCTCCCCTTTGTGTCTTTTCTCATGACTGTAAAGAGACTGACGCAAGGTGAAACGTTTTCCACAATCAAAGCATTTGTAAGATTTGATTCCCAAATGAATCTTCTCATGGGCCCTAAGGCTTGCCTCCTGACAAAAGCTCTTCTCACATTCCCAACACTTGTAAGGTTTCTCCCCTGTGTGAATCCTCTCATGGCTTCTGAGGTTGCCTTTTCCACGGAAACGTTTCCCACATTCCAGACACTGATAAGGTTTCTCTCCGGTGTGGATTCTCTGGTGTCTAAGAAGCTTTGACATTTGATCAAAGGGCAAGTCACATTCCTCACATTTATAAGGTTTTGGTTCTGGGGGGCTTCTGAGACCTCCGGCTTCTTTCCCAGAGGAGGATTCCACGTTCTCCAAACCTTGACTGGATCCGCTTCCCACATGGACGTTCTGGTGGGTCAAAACGATGCAGCAGAGAGGGAAGGATATCCAACCCTCTGGGTGTTCCTGGGTTCCTTGGTTACTTGGAGTGTTGCTTGTGTCTGATGGGGGACCCAGGAGTTTCCCTCCCTCCATCCTTTTTGGCAACTGCTGCCTCGCTCTGAGAAAGAAAGAAAGAGAAAGAGAGAATAATATTTCCTTTTCAGAAAACACATCTCAGCCTTAGGGACCATGAAGGTCCTCCAATCCCACCCACTGCCCAGGGTCCTCAGTACACGCCATTAATCCAGCTCGTGTGGGACCGCTAGGCAGCCCCACCCACCCACCTTCAGGAGGCCAGGGAGGCCTTCTGAACAACTTAAACATCTAGCAAAAAGAAAAGTCAACCAAAAGAGCAACATGGAAACAAAAAGCAAATAAAACACCCCCAGGAGCAAAACAAATTAAAGTTTAATTTGTATGCATTGCTCAATGGCCTACGAAATTGGTCCCACTCACCCGGTCAAATGGCCACCTAGCTACCCCCACCCCCGCCAGCCAATCCGGGGACCATGAATTTGCCCCTCGTTGAAAACGTTTGAGGACTCCTGGCCTAGGCAATAATTGTGGTGCTCCCTCGGGGTGGGGGCTGCTCCAAGACAGGGGTCTGCAACCTTAAACACCCGAAGAGCCATTCGGACCCATCTCCCACCGAAAATAAAACACGGGGAGCTACAAAACCTGGGTGGGTGTGGCCAACTCAACATCACTCCCATCCTGTAACATCTCACACACACACACACACTGGCATTCCTAGCCCTCTCTCTCCCCTGCTTCTCTCACACTTTTTCTTTTTCCTCCCCCTCTCTTTCCCTCCCCTTCTCTCTCTCTCTCTCTCTCTCTCTCATTTCCCTCTTACTCTCCCTCCAGCTCTCATTTCTGTGTCCCTAGCCCTCTCTCCCCCTGCTTTTCTCTTTTGTTTCTCTTTTTCCTCTCATTTTCTCCCTTCATCATTTTCTGATTTCTCTTTTTTCTCCCCTTTTTGTTGCAATACGCGCAGGCATACATTAGCTATGCTGAAACNTTTACAGCGTGCTTCTCTCTCCGCGCTGTTGTCGCCCTGTTGATGGTGTCAGCTACGCGGTTTAGTCGGACGCGGTTTAGTCAAGCGCGGTTTTGTGGTGGAACACCAACCTTGGCAACTTTAAGACTTGTGGACTTCAACTCCCAGAGTTCCTCAGCCAGCTGGCTGAGGAACTCTGGGAGTTGGAAGTCTACAGGTCTTAAAGTTGCCAAGGTTGGAGATCACTGTTCTAGGAGAAAGAAAAAAAAGGTGACTGAAGATGGCTGGGACTTCCTGCCCCTTGAACAGAGTTTTCCTAAACAAAAAATAAACTGAAAAGGGGGAATCTCTCTTTTGGCCTCTCTTCCTCCTCACCCAAGTCCGATCTGGGATATTAATCTCCATGTTTTTTTTTAACGTGTTTCTTTGTGAACACCTTGAAAAGTTCCCTGTTAGCTTAATAGCCCAGTTTTGGGGTTTTCTAACTTGCTTGTTTGTGGATTGGCCAATTGTACTGTTAAAGTTGCAACAGTTTCCTGGAGCCAGTGAAATGCCAGAGAGAGTGAGACTTGAGACGAGGCTTGCAAAAAATAATCAGCTTTTATTTATGGTTATCGTAAAGATGGTGACAAAACTATATCCAAAATATTCAAACAGATGCATGTAAGAAATATCTACACCCTGCAAGAGTGGCTCAGAGTATTCTATACATTTTAGGCAGATAGAAACAAAGTTTAATCAGAGACAAAGATTCCTTACCAAAGTGATCTTTAAAGCGTTCTATTGTTCAAGCTCCTGCATCTGTCTACTTTATCTATGGAGTATTCCTATAGCCTTATGCAGGGGGTGGCAGCCTCCATTTGCCAAGTTGTTTTTCGGCAGAATGTTTTAAGGCAATGATGGCTAACCTTTTCCCCGTTGCGTGCCAAAAGAGGGGAGAGCGCAGGGGGTCGTGAACGGGTGTGCCCACCCATAATACTATGTGTTCTGTCCCCCCTCCGTCCGGTAATGAACACAGACACAGATTAGCTGTTTTCCCCCCTTTACTCACAGCAATTACAATCCTGTTGGCTGAAAGCCCAGACACGACTCACTGGCAAGAAGTTGGCAG